TGATATCAGGGTTGACTGAGAGAAAATTTTAGTTTATTCTTACATGTAATGGGGGTCCCACAAAGGTCGCTTTGTAAAGTCAGACAAGAGATGATACGCCAAGTGTGCTGGTCTTCCCACATGCTTTTCAACCCAAACACATAAAACATTGTACTCCTCCAAAGTATATATTTTTGTCTGAAAGAAAAAAAAATTACAAAAGAAAAACTTATGTTTATATACAAATATATACATTTATATATAGTCAGTGATGGATTGTGCTAGCTAAGGCGTCTTGCTACCTGGGTAAAATGAAGCTAAGATGGCAACAATTTCACTTTAAATACCTGGATGGCAAGAGCTAGACCAAGCTGTTATAGTCCTGAGTCTTCCAAACAATATGTGACTTGAGGGTGGCTATTTAATTACTGTATAACAGTTTTTCTTATAAAAAATGAACAGCATAAGCCTTTCTCTCTTTCTCGTTGTGATGTTTCCTTGCCTCTACCCAAGAACAACAGAAAATATCATCAGACTGCTAGGCCTCATTTCCCTCAGGAGAACCTGGAGCCGAGGTTATGGCCTAGGGCATTTTCCTAGGATGTCAGATATGTCTCCAAGTGTGCTAAGGTGACCAAGGAAGCAAGCCATCCACCTCCAAAACCAACTCAACCTCTCTACAGGGCCCCTGAAGCACCATATTTCTTCAGCACGAAGCATTTTTTCATTTCTAAATCACAGAGGCTCATTCTTCTGGGAAGCCAATTCTTGGGTTTCTATTATATACCATTCCCTTAGAGAAAAGAGACCTGTTTGGGGGAGCCATTTGACATATACTTAAACATTAATGTATCACTTGTTACTTTGAACTTTCCTTCTACTGTGCTTTTGACAATTATCAGAGATATGTGTTCAGCTAAGAACATATTTCTATCCTGCCCATTTTCCATCTCTTTCAGGGTGCTTTGAAGTTAGGGTTGAAATATGCCATTTTATAATTATTCCCATGGCAACAAGCTGTGAGAAAACAAACAAACTTGAGGTTAAGACTTCAC